AGCTGCAGATAAAGATTTATGCACAGAGATAGTTCTTTTGAGGCATAAGTTCCTCTGGAAGGCCTGGGATGGAGGGAGCATTTAACTTTAGCAGCTGTTCAGAAGGTCTGGAAACTAGGAGAAACTATGGTACAGGATACAAAATTTTCATTGATGTTTAAGATTAAGAGATGAGCGTTCAAATAAGTCTTGTGCTTTGCTCTAAGGGGTCATTGTCTCTGCTCTTCATACCCATGGTGAGAAAGCCGGGGATGTGCTGGCCTGCAGGGTAAAGTCAGTGCCTTTTTTGACTTGATGTCCAAAGATATGTGATTATTTCAGGGCGGTACTGGGATTCAAACTCAAGATCTCGTACTTGCCAGGCAGGCGCTGTGCCACTGAGCTGTGTCCCTGGCAGGGTCATGTGATCTACTCTTCATGATTTCTAGTCCAGTCTCATTTCTTTTTTTTTTTTTTTTAAGCATTTATTTATTTATTTATTTATTTATTTATTTATTTATTTATTTATTTATGTGTGGCCAGCTCAGCCAACCAGGGGGCGGGGCTGGCTGGCCTGTGGTGTTGGGTGATTGAACCGCGGTCCCTGTGCTTTGCTTTGTTTGTTCTTAGTAGGTGCTTTAGACCACTGAGCCATCTCACCAGCCCTAAAATCTGTCTCTCTTTTTTTTTTTTTTTTTGTGGAACCAAGGATTGAACTCAGGCCTTTGCCCTTGCCAGGGAAGCGCTTATTCCACTGAGCCATCTCCTCAGCCCCCCAGTCTCATTTCTTGATGATCCTGACCTCTCATGTTATATTCCAGAAATATTTCCAGAAGTTTCTTTAGTGCACCCAACTGTCTTATACCATGTAACTTTTGTTCAGGATAATTCTTCCTTGCCTTTGCATGGATTGCTGTCTCCCTTTGTGTCATATGCTTGGTGAGCTCTTTAGTCACCTTTTAAAAACTTCCTGCATATTTAGTCTCCAAATATATTTTGTAATATGTAGTATTTTGGGTGAAAAAGAAGACTTGAATACTTTACAACGAGACATGCATGCTTCAGTTCTGTCACACTCTTCACCTCTTTCTCTTGGATTGCTTTATTACATTTGTTACAGTCCCAATCTTTTAGGAGAAACTTTTCTCAACTTCTCCTTTAGACAGAAGTAATCATTTTTTCATTGTCATTTTGGAGTATCTTTAGATCTGTCATTGCATTTATGATCTATGAGAAATTCTTAAAATACTTGCTTTTTTCCAATTCTAACACTAATAAACTTTGAAAAACTACACACAGAAAAAAATACTGAGAGCCCCGGGTTTTTTTGGTTTTTTTTTTGGGGGGGGGGTTGGAACCAGGGATTGAACTCAGGCCCTTGCGCTTGCCAGGCAAGTGCTTATTCCACTGAGCCATCTCCCCGGCCCCGAGAGCCCTGTTTTTAAAAATGTATTTAGTGCAGGGTCTGAAGGGTCTCACTACACAGATCAGACTCGCAGTGATCTTCCTGTCAGCCTCCAAGCACTGGGATTATAGGAATGTGCCACCACGCCCAGTCTCAGTCACCATCTCAGTGAGCCCTGGGGCAGGGGCTAGCATGGCACACTGGGAATCGAACCCTGGTCCCTGCACCTGCCTAAGCAGGATCTTCAGTCTGCTGAGTTATCTGGCTGGCCCTCACAGCCCCATTTTTAAAAAAACACTGCTGTTTCGTTTTTGGCAAATGTTTCTATGCATATATGTGTATGTTTATAGAAATACAGTTTGTTTAAGACTGTCTATATTTTGAAATGTTGATTTAAAAAAATTATTTATTTATTTGTCACAGGGTCTTGCTATACAGCTAGGACTCATAGTGATCCTCCTGTCTCAGCGTCCCCAGCCCTGGGATTACAGGCCTGTATTAACATACCCAATTTGGGTGGCCAGCATGGTGCGCCTGGGGTTCCAGGGCCAGCATGGCATGTGGTACCAGGGATAAAACCTGGGTCCCTGACTTGCCAGGCAGGCACTTAGACTGCTGAGCTATCCTCTCAGCTCTCTTGATATTTTTAAAATATAAATAATGTAAATATAAATTGTTTCTTGTTGGTGTAGCTATTTTTTCAGGTACTACTTACTTGGATCTCCTTGAGGGCCAGGGTTTCTATTTTGTCTCTTTAGTACCTAAACACACAGCATTGTTGTGGGTCAGTATGGGAACTTAGTGTTTATTGAACTCAAGGGGTATAAAGAGTAATTCTAACCTTCCAGGAGAGACAGGCCTGTTCATTCATTTGTTTCTGTATTCATTCATTCACTCATTCATTCACTCATTCACTCATTCACTCATTCATTCATTCATTCATCAGATTCCTCATGCAATGTGTATCTCACAGCAGCAACTCATGAATGCTGGGCTGCCTGGTCTCCTCCGCAGGGCTTGTGAAACGAGGGTGGCTAGACCTTACGCGCCGAGTCACTGCTTCTGTAAGTCTGAGAACCCACACTGCTAGCGAGCTCCCCAGGAGACAGTGATGGTGCTGGTGGAGGGAACACACTTTGAGACCCGCCCTGGCCTACAGGATGGATTTGAGATTCATTGTGGAAAAATAATACAGCTGTCTAGTTTGTGGTGGGAGCAGCTGAAGTCTGAGTGACGTTTAATCCTGTCCAGTTCTTCAAGTCCCTGGGAGAAAGGAGAGGGCTGCGATCATACCCTGGGTCCAGTCTACACCCCTCGCTGTGGGTGGCTCTCAGCAATGTCTGCAGGGCCACAGAAATCAGAGACTGTTGGAGAGAGCTCTGTGCCATTACAATGACCACAGAACCTTCCTTGTGCCCCGTCCTTCACCACCATTTGTGATGTTTCATCTGCAGAGCAGTTGCAAGGGAATTGGGATTCTCCCCATCTTACAGAAGAGCTAACTGAGGGCAGAAAGCTTACGTAACCCACTGTGGCCCCGCCTGCCGGGGAGTAACATTCTTAGAGTCCTCTGTCCAGCTTTCGAAAGCCTTCAGAGCCAAGCGATTGCCATGGCTGCAGCTGAGACTGGCCCAAGGTTGAGCTGAGTCCACAGGAGAAGGAGTTTCCAGAGTGCTTCAGGAGTGGCAGCTGTTTCCCTGGAAGGGCAGGAGGGCCAAGAGATAGCGCAAGGCTGTTTCCGCCTTGCGTTTGAGGGCTGTAAAATCCATTGCCCTTCTCTTGTTGCCTGTGTTGCCAGGAAGCTCTGAGCCTTGCTTTGGAAGTAGTGGCTTCCTTAACCTAAGGTTCTTCGATATAACGACCTCCCTACTCTTAAAACTGGCATTCCTGTGTGGGCTTTAGAAATTTTCCAAAATGATTTCTAAAAGAGGCAAATCACAGATTAATGACTGAAGGGTGACTTTTCAGAATTAAAAGGATGACTTTTAAGAGTTGCTTATGTTTTTTAAAGCTTTCAAGACTGATTTGAGCCAATGCTGGACAAGTAAGTGAACACATAAAGTAGAACCATGGCTCTATGTCTATTTAGTACCTCAAGGTGTATCCACGTGGGCTTGTGTTCATTTTGGCTTGGGCCAGGCCCTGAATTTGAGTTTAGCTCCTCATTCTCACTTCATGACTTTAGTATCCTTGGGTCCCAGAGTCCTCCTCAGAAAGGGGAATGATGCTGCTACCTCCCAGGGTCTTTGAAGGATGGAACATAAACAATTTATGTAAAATATCTCATCCAGGGCTCTGTGTGTCGTCAGGGTACATTGGATGGGATTAGTACTGTTGTTATTGCTTTGCTTCATAAAGTCTAGATTCTATAGGAAGATCGGACTATACATTCGCAACTTCTGTAGATTTTTTTCAGCATGTGCAGTGTGCTTAGCATGAAGATAGTGCACCCTGGGGCCAGGGAGATGGCTCAGTAGAATAAGCGCTTGCTGGGAAACGTAAGGGCCTGAGTTCAATCTCTGGTTCTGCCAAAAAAAATAGTGCACCCGAGGACAGTGGCTGCCAAGACTGCTTCTCCTTTAAGAGTAGCTCCAGGCCAGCTACTTTGTGGAGTCTTGGTGATGGTAGCTGGGTATCGCAGAAGTCTTCAGGTTCACTGAGGTCACCCACTTAGCAGTAGGTGAGGAAGACTCAGCCTAGAGTTCGGCACTTTCTTGCTTGTACGACTTGAGCATCCTCACTGGGAAAGTGCCCTGTGGCCCGACAGTTTGGTCTGGCTGTCGCTTAATTTTATTAAGCTCTTTCAGTTTTTCTTTCAAAGTTTTAATGACTAAATGCCGTGACCTGGAGTTATGTTTTAGGGAGAGGGTACGTTCACGTGTCCTGATGTCCTGAGACTCCTCGTGGACACTGAAGGCCTATCTGAAGGGCACAGGAGATGAGACCGAGCCGCTCCCTGCTTGCCTAGGAGAGGTGGTAGCACTGAGATATGGAGGGTTCCGGACAGGCCTTCCTCTGAGGACCCCTTGGTGAGGCCCCGAGGCCCAGGGGTGCTGAGGAGCGTGATGCCCGGTGGCCTTCACAGGGGTGCTTTTCTCTGCCTTGGACGTTCTCTGCCTGAGCTATTGTGTCAAAGAGGAAGCCCTCTGGGTCATTAGATGCCATCTGGCAGTTCATATATATTTCTGTAAACTCAGTTTTTAATGCAGTAACCCGGTGGGCAGGAAGTAGGCAATTCATCAGAAAAACAAATAACAAAAAATAAACTGTAGCTAAAATAGAGAGCTTCCTCTTTCTAACTTGATTGGTTGGTGCTTATCCTTTTATGATTTTTCTAGCCTCTTTAAACAAACAAGAGAGTAGGGATTACTGCAGTGCCGTAGCCATATGCTCGATGTTTCTAGCAGACAGTGTATGAAGCACAATGAGCCTGTCCCATCCGGCTGGGGTGCGAGAGCAGGCCCTGGCTTGGGGTCGTGGCACCGTGGTAGCCTGGCATTCTTTGTGTTCGTGCTGCAGTGTACTCGGAAGTCTCAGGGAGGTGCTGGGGTGCTGCATGTGTCTCTTTGAGAGACCTTCCCCATTCACCAGTTCCCTTATGCTGTTTGTCTCGCAGGTCCAAGAGGCCGCCAGTCAGGGCCTGAAGTTCGTCGGTGTTATACCTCAGTACCATTACCCCATGGCCTTGGTGGGCAGCAGCTCCCTGGCATCCCCTGCCAACAATGCCACAGATGCCAGAGACGTGAAAAACGCACATGGGGCCCAAACATCGTTGGAGAACGAGGACCCAGGGGCTGTGGATGTGAGCATCACTCCTACAGGGATGGACCAAAGCCTGGAGCCCAGTCCGGGCCCCCCTGAGGAGGTTCCTCTCACTGAGCAACCCAGCTCACCGTCAGGAAAGGGTCAGGGTAGAGAAGCCTCCTTGGGGGAGGTGAGCCCAACCCTACATGGCCCGGATGGTGACCTGTTGGATATGCGTGAAGACTTGTGCTCGGAAAGTAAGTACAGTAGCCCTGGGAGTTTTGAACTGCTTAAAAAGAGGCTAAAAGCTTTGCAGTAATCCCTGGGGTATCTTAGGGAAAAAGAAATAGAATTGGAGTGTAAGCCTAACACTATGTCCGTCAAACAAGAGGAACTTTATCAAGCTGTTATCTGGGCTACTCAGCTATTCGTGGGCTGCAGTTATGACTTCTGGGGCCAGTGGAGCCTCATGAAATTGACTTGCATTGCTCGAAAATGTGATCTTTGAAGTGGATTTCAGACCTTGAGTTATTTCAGCCCTTGGGCTCTGGATTTGAAGCAAATTTTTACTGTGAGTTATTTTAGTCCTTGGGCTCTGGCCCTTAAGTACACTGCCCTGGTACAGAGTGTTGGTGGGCTGGTCGCCCTTGACATTGAACTCTCTGCTCTTTAGAATATCTGCCTAAAACAAGAAACAAGGGAGAAGCCAGTTGAGGTCAAATTATGCAGGAAACTGTGATTCAGCTCACTAGGATGTAAACAACCAGTTTCTGACCTCAGCGAGGTCATAACAGTTGACAGATCAGCACCAAGCAGAGAATGCTGCGCCAAGGACAAGCCGCCAATGCATGCTCCTGTTAATTCCATTGTGACAGTTGTCAGAGCGTGCACGCTGGGTTGAGGAATTCAGATCACAGCGCAACAGTAATAGCAAACGTTTATTAATACTTCCTGAGTACCAGGCCCTGTGCCAATAAGCTTTTAAAATGCCTGATCTCGTAATTCTCTGTATAGCGGAATGATGCGAGCGAGCTCTATTATCACACTTTTCCAGTTGAGTCATCTGAGGTTTAGAGAGAGTGTTGGCCAAGCTGAAAAGGGCCAGGTCAGGCAAGGAGGCTGACCCACCGTCCTACCTTGCTTCTCAGCTTGGTCTTTCCTGTGGAGTAGACTGGCAGGGTTTCCTGCAGCCCTTGATTGACAGTGAGCAAGTTTGCCCTCATTTCTCTACCCAGAGTTCCCTTTCCACTACTTTCTCCAGGAAATCCAGCATCCAGTCTCTTCCTGCGAGCAAGGTGCTTACATTAGCCATGAGGCCTCTTCTGGCCTTTGGGGAGGAGGCCAGTATCAAGACTTGACAGTAGGAGGCCTCCAGGACCTTTGGCTTATTCATTCTCGAGCATGTCCGTCGTTAATGTTGCTGCTTATTTACTAGTCTTTGAAATTGTCCTCTTATGAATGACAATATTTTATGCTTTAAGGCAGAAACCAAGAAGAAAACAGTTTTAGTTCCATCAGTAATTCTTGAGAAGATAGTCAGAGGATGGTACATTCTGGGAGCTTATTTGCAAAGTTGCTTAGAGGGAGAGATTGGAGCTACCTTAGTCCTGGGATACCTTAGTACTATCATTTAATCAAGGTTCAGTATATATGGAAGTAGAGATCTTTCTTTGTGTGGTTTTTTTCACTAGGCTGAGTAGACTTCTTACTCAGAGCAGCTGAGAGTGTCTTTATACCAGGCTCCAGCCCCCAAATGACCAGGACTTAATTCAGAAGTCCTGTCTTCCCATGGGCAGGCTGGATATGTACACTGAATCTTGAGGAGGAGGAAAGGCCTTTGAGGAGCTCTTCTCTACAGTCTAGGACTGTGCAAGGCAGACACAGAGACATACCAAGCCTGGATTCTTACCCACTGTGCTCCTTCCCTCCCAAGGGACTAGACTTGGGGAGGGAAGGAGCACAGTGGGTACGAATCTGGACTTGGGGAGGGAAGGAGCACAGTGGGTAAGAATCCAGGCTCGCTATGTCCCAGCCACCTTCTGAGTAGGCAATAGTCTTGGACAAGATGCTCCCATCTTACAGGGGAGTCTGGGGAAGGCTCCATGAAAGGGACTTGGACCTTGCTGAACACAAGTGACCAAGACTGTTATCAGCTATTGTTGGGCGTTGATTCTGAGCTTCTGGCTCTTGTTCTCCACATGTCATGGAGTCTTGGCTTTGAGAAAATACTCCGGCTTGCTTGGGAGGGTGCAGCTCCTCCTGTATTCCAGAACCTGCTTTTCTTCAAGACTCCTTTTAGATGTCCTGTCTTCCTCTCTCTGAGGAGAGTTACTAACTGGGAGACCCACTCTCAGATGCCCCTGATGCCCTGTGACTACTCAGGGTTCCGTGCATGGAAACCCTTCTACTACAGCCCTAGGCTCTTCTGGGGAATCACGGGGTAATGTGTGTAGATGGAGGGGTCAGCTGTAAAGTGAGCAGCAGTGGCAGGGTAGGCAGTGACCCCACTCTGCACACACAGCTGCCTACCCAGGTTCCAGAGCTCAGAGCTGAGGCAGGATACTCTCAGCTTTTTTCCTTTTCCTGTTCGAATCAGTGAGTCCAGACTTCCCGTTAGGTCATTAAACTCACAGGGGCTACTGGTTAGTACAGGGATGGACGGAGTGTGGTCATGAGGGTGATCACCTGTGAGCACGGTCCTG